TTTTACTAACATTAAACTAAAATCTTTAACAAAGTAATTATCAAAAACATAAACCTTACTTATAGGTTAATATTAACAAGACACGTCATAAATTCCTTGAAAACTAGTTTCTTTCTACGAACACCAAATTCTTCTCATAAAGCTAATATTTTTTATTATCTATTTAGTTTAATTACAGTCCGGAATGACATATTTTCATGATTTATATAATTCAAAGTAGCTTACATTATTTATTTTAAAATTTTTAACACATTACAAAAATGACATGATTGATTTATAATTCAAACTGCCGCTTTTTATCTCCCCTCTCTACATATGGGACATATGGAACACTAGCGCCCTCTTATTTTTGTAAGATTTTTGTTTACATGGAGTTCGGGCTCCTTGTATAGTCTCCATGACTGCACCATAGAAAACGTATATAATTATTGACATTCATTGACACGAATGACACGTCGCACGATATGAGTTTATAAGTTGAGTTGTGTATAAATTGGTTATATTGTGAGTAAGATCTTTTTGCGGGTGTTTTTAAGGTAACTAATTTAAATTTCCATGTTATTTCTGGCTAATATTTCTTTTTTCCTTTATATACGGTAAGTAACCCAATCTTTCACGTGTAGTAATTTTTTTTAGGAGACCTATCCACAATGGCTGTTGTAGAACAGCCCTGTTATACGCTTATTAATTTGCCTACCGATTCAGAACCATACAATGAAATGCAACTCAAAATGGATTTGGGTAAGTAAACGTGATCTCATCCGTCTTATATGTAATATTTATTCATGTGCACCTTTGTAGAAAAAGGAGATATAAAAGTGAAAATCAAAGCTCTTGAAAGAATCATTCACATGATCCTAGCCGGAGAACGACTTCCTCCCGGCTTTTTAATGACTATAATACGATACGTATTACCTCTTCAAGATCACCTCGTCAAGAAATTGTTGTTAATTTTTTGGGAAATTGTTCCCAAAACGTCAGTTGATGGAAAACTCCTTCAAGAAATGATTTTGGTGTGTGACGCATATCGGAAAGACTTGCAACATCCTAATGAATTCTTACGTGGCTCAACGCTACGGTTTTTGTGTAAACTCAAAGAACCAGAATTATTGGAGCCTCTCATGGCCACTATCAGGGCTTGTTTGGAACACAGACATAGCTACGTCAGGAGAAATGCTGTACTTGCAATATTTACCATTTATCGCAATTTTGAATTCTTAATTCCTGACGCCCCCGAATTAATATCCACTTATTTGGACGGAGAACAAGACATGTCCTGTAAGCGTAATGCATTTTTAATGTTGCTTCATGCCGACCAAGAACGAGCCCTGTCTTACCTGGCCTCATGCTTGGACCAAGTAACTTCATTCGGGGATATTCTGCAACTTGTTATAGTGGAGTTGATTTATAAAGTTTGCCACTCTAACCCTTCGGAGAGGTCTCGATTCATCCGCTGCATCTATAATTTGTTGAACTCCAGTAGTCCTGCTGTACGATACGAGGCGGCTGGCACCCTCGTGACACTCTCAAATGCCCCGACGGCCATTAAGGCAGCTGCAAGTTGCTACATCGATCTGATCATAAAAGAAAGCGACAACAACGTGAAACTGATCGTATTAGATCGGCTGATCGCCCTCCGTGAGCATCCCAGCCACGAGAGGGTGCTGCAGGATTTAGTGATGGACATCCTGCGAGTCCTGGCCAGTCCCGATCTGGAAGTGCGCAAGAAGACTTTGAATTTGGCCATGGAACTGGTTTCTTCCAGGAATATAGAGGAAATGGTGTTGGTTTTGAGGAAGGAGGTCGCAAAAACTTTGGATGTTGAACACGAGGATACTGGGAAGTACCGGCAATTGCTAGTTCGCACGTTGCATTCCTGTTGTATCAAGTTTCCTGATGTCGCGGCCACCGTTATTCCCGTCTTGGTCGAGTTCCTCTCTGACACCAATGAGTTAGCCGCTACAGACGTCCTCGTCTTCGTCAGGGAGGCTATACAGAAGTTTGAGAACTTACAGCCGCTTATAATAGAGGTGAGTTTCCAAAAAAATATTTGTCGGGAATTGCATAAGCTAAATTTAACCTGACCACTCAAAATAGAAAAAAACTTCTTGTAGACATGGGCTGGGAAATATTTATTTTCTGAGATACTGGCCGTTTCCAGTCAAAATTCCTGAAAATACATTTTAGAATATATGTTCAGATTGAATAAACAACTGAAAATTCACATCGGAATTACACTTTTATACTTTCGGTCAATTATGAGCTAAAATCACAAATCCGGGGAACCAGAAGCGTGTAGTGTTTGGACGTTTTCATGCTATAATTATCTCTTATGAAGTATAAGAATTGAAATATCTGGTTTTTTAATCTTTAGGCGTTTTGACAATATCAATTTAGTGAAAAAAAATTAAGGAATTTTAACTTCACCACCCGTTATTGCAGAAATTAAACATTTCCCTGTCCCTTTCTTAAGAGAATCATTTTTAAGCTATTTACACGATGTGTTTATTTGACAAATTTTTAGAAACTGCTGGAAGCCTTCAGAGACATTAAATCAGTAAAGGTGCATCGTGCAGCGTTGTGGATCTTGGGCGAGTATGCGGAATCGATTTCGGACATTGAAGCCGTAATTAAAGAAGTAAATCACACGCTAGGGGAGGGCCCCCTTCTGGAAGCCGAGCAGAGGCTCATTTCTGGAGACACGGAGGAGGCGGTCGTACAGACCCACGCGGGGGGCACCACCACCCTCGTCACGTCCGATGGGACGTACGCCACACAGTCAGCTTTCAACACTGTACAGTGAGTGATTTGTTTTTTTTTATGGATCCGTTTTACTTATTCACGTTTTTTCGTCCCTTTTGTATCGTAGAAAGTCCAGCAAAGAGAAAAGACCACCGTTGCGTCAGTACTTGGTGGACGGGGACTTCTTTATCGGGGCCGCTCTGGCGTCGACCCTCACAAAACTAGCGTTGCGATATGGCCAAGTCTCACCGGCTACTCAAAGAAACAGGTTCGACGCGGAGGTCATGCTGATTATGGCAGGAATCGTCCATTTGGGGAAATCGGGTAAGCGTCAATTATTGTGTAGACGGGGTGTAACGAAACTAAGTGTACAGGAGCTGTCCTGGTTTTCTGCGATTGAAATAAGCAGATTTAACTAAACTTACTTACCTGTTTATCTTAAGGCTGACGTCGCACTTTTAGTGAGACAGCGACAGAACGAGAAAATACATCTAAACTATAAAAATGGTGAAAATATAAAGATTCCTTTGATTGTTCATAGTGGAGGGTCACGACAAAGAGATATTGATATCAAACTTGACAAAATTGTTATTTCAAAGTTTTTTTGTTTGTTATAGTTTTGGTTTATATTTTTTTATGTATTGTAATCAAAAAAGGTCAAGGAAATAATAAATAATTAAAATGAACATTAGAACGCTTCAGTATGTTTTCTCGTAAAAGCATTATTAAATAAAAAGTCATCTAATATTTTCTTTAAACTTGATATGATGAATTATTGTAATTGTGTGGCAGTGGTGTTCTCTCGCTAGGTAATGTTGCTATTTTCTCTCTTTTTCAAATATATTTTCATAATGTCCATAATGTTAATGTTTGTTTTTCTTATTAATATTAAATGGTTTTTTAATGAGGGGACGTTTTAATGAGTGATTTTTAAATAATTTATATAGTTTTTTGTCGCTTTTAGAAAATCTGCACAAGTCGGATACAATATCTCTTCACTGTATCAGTTATACAAGTTTTCTCCAGGGTATAAGGCCGGTGTCCCATGCATCCGAATTCCGTTGTATAATATCCGAAAATATTTTAATTCATATGTACGATAATATTATAATTCACATGCATCCGAAATTAATCTCGTAGAAATCACATATAGAACCATGGAATTTATTACAAGATGNTTAAATATAAAACTTTAGAATAATTTGGGAATAGGGGTAAACAAATCGGCTATACGTAGTGCACATAAAAAAAAAAGTTTCATAAGTACGAGTTTCAGATGCAGAGTGACAAAGTTCTTGAAAAATAGTTAAATCTTAACGGTGAAAACATAAATGTAGGTATTTGCTTTCAACATTTCACTGTTTCAGATTGGAAAGATTTTATTGTCGACGGCTGTAGGTACCTATCTACCAAGCTTTTAGGAACGAATTTCCAAACTGAGGTTAAAAACTAAAAACTAAACACTCTAAAATCAGATGATCTGCCGATAAACACAAGACGTAGTATGCCGTTGTAGACGAAAACCAGATACACATTTTTCGTATCTGCACGTAACACCAATCCATGAAAAAGTGAAAAAAAAATAATAAATTAGGCTTAGATCTTGTTTGCTTTTTCCAAACATTGATATTAATTTAGTAGGTTTCTATTGACTGAACCACGTAAGACGTAGGTGTATGTATGGTGTTTTCTAACGGTTAAAACTGTTATTCGTGACGAAAAGTCCCTACTGTTAAAGCTCCTATTTAAAGTGGAAATCACCGGCTTATTGAAAAGTCTTTATTTTTCCTCGTAAGTTGGTGATTTTTCTTTTTTCGCCATTGTGTGTTAATAAATAATACAACAATGGTTCGTGGGCGACATCAGTATCGTTCGCTTCCTACACGTGAAGGACCCAAGAAAAATATCGGTCGGGATAGCGTTTGCCTCAACTGGAACACATGGCATGTTCATCGCCATATGACGGGGTTTTGCAAATTCCTGGCACGTGGGCTCCTCCTTGTCTTTTTGTGATTAATTGAACAGTTGGCGTAAAGTTAAAAACGCACTGCAATATGACACCAGCACCAGCAAAGCAAGATGAGTAATGGCTTTGCGTGAAACTCATTTTTTTTAATTGTTGTATTTTGCAAAAAAAAGATTAGAGAATGTTGCAAATAATCCTGGAACTAGCTCTCGCAGAACGACTTTACAGCACAATGAATCAAAAAGTTCAATTTGTAGGATTTTAAATGAGCAGCTACGAGTATACCGATAGCATTTTTGTAATTAGGTAGTGGATTTTCAGTAAATTTTGGATCGGAATAGTAAACGAACGGTTTAACTTACGTTATACCAGATCGGTTAGATGGTCGAAGGTAAATATACCTTTAAGCAACATGGTAAATGATTTGCTGGGTGATGTTTCGCTGGAAATTCGTCGAAATATGCCCAAACTATACGAAACTTGTTAAGTTAAGAAATGGTCCAGTTGCATGGCCGCCCGATCGCCAGAGTTCCATCCGTTTTGTTTATAAGGTCGTTTGAAACAGTTGCTGTGTATTCCATTCCAGTTTATACAGTTGGGGAATTAGTAAAATAAATTCATGTTTAATTGTTCTTTTTTATTGCATATTCTGCAACACTTTATATCTGCATTATGTCCCATTCAAATATCTAAATAGTAAATTGCAATAAAAAGAGATTTATGTATGATCCTGTACTCGTGGAGTTGAATTTTTCTCGATGCGTCATTTTTGTCTGGCTTCACATAATTAAAAATACACTTGATATGCATATAATTTTACAGCTAGGTACCTAGGTATATCATTTTACGAAATTCGATTCCCTTCCACGGGATGCAAGAACAAACAATTTTTGACAGTCATACAACTATTGCTTAAAAATGGAAATAGCCATTAAATACATTTAATGCAAGGTCTGCGACCGTTATATTTGTATATTAGTTCAGTCATAGTTCACATGATTAGAAACAACGACGACGACGAGGACAACCGGAAAGCAGAAGGGCAGTTAGTATTACCCACTACCTCCGGTTGTTGGTGTTGTAACCGTCGTGTTTCACACACATACACATACATACATAGTTGTTCTATAGATTTTTAGAGCTCGCCTTTACGAAATTGATAATTTTTATTTTTTAAAATCTGCAATTCCCCTAAAAGTAAATAAATGGTACACGTCATTCTGATTTCACTTCGAGTTTGTTTTGAATTATATTAAAAGTAGAAGTTCCTATTTGCTTTTATATAAAAATATTTTCTTTCTTCCATCATTATAAAAAACGATAATATGGTCTGGGAAAATTATTACGGGTCGCCCTATAGATACAAATACGTGCGAGTTTTCTGTACAAACACTGTATTGCCGCAATGGAAGATAATACGTGTATAAATATTTATTTAGCACAGTTCGTTTTTTATGTTGTGATGAAGATTTTCTCGACAAATATTTTCGTTAACCAGAACATTGAAGAAGGCGAAAAGACACGATTATATTAACGTGAGCTGCATGCATGCCCTCTACCGCGCTTTCAATAATTATATCAATTACAACATCCGGATGTGTATTAAGCGATTTAGCTCGTTAGTGTAAGAACTTCTACGTTTTATTTGAATATACAGCCAAATAAGAGTGTTTCAATATTCTATATTATTACTTTAAGTACCTACATTGGAAAGTTTCTAATGCAGATAGAAGCTTGATAAAAATAATTTATTGATTTACTCACAATGTTTTTTAATTACTACAAATTAACATAAAATGATTCTCGGATTCTATCGATAGAGCCGTGCCAGGGTCCGAACGAACGCGGCTATATCGACGACCTTGTCTTTGAATAGTTAGACAAGAATTGCAAAAAGTCGATTCTTTCAGCCCGGACTCAAGGTAACGTATGTACGATGAAGTGCTCGGTGTTACCACAGAATATGTTAGTTACCCTCCTTTATTTTTCTTGCGTGATGATTCCTGGCCTTCAAAGATAGGTACCTATCTCCATGTCGATTATACACGGTGGAATGAGAACGGTTTTCAGAAAATACACGATGTTTTAGTTTAGTAACAACCCATCTAGAGCCAGGTAAAAGCGTCACGTACTAGTATAATTTAACGGAAATTAAGCAGTAGACAGACAGACCCTCGACGAACGACCTCAGTTGAATTATTTACTTCCACACGATATTATAGTTTCTCTTCCTTTTATTTCGATGAAAAAATTTTCAAAAAAACTACCCATTACTATTTTTTTATTTTCTATACAGGATGAATCCGTTTATTATTACTTCGTCTATCGGTTAGGGATGGTAGGCACTAGGTATCCTTGAAAAGGCCATTACTTACGAACTGTGACTTCCTTGGGGTCGAACTTAGTGACCTTCTCTTCGAGGGCATTAATTTTCACCTTCACAGATTCGGACCTTTTGTTTATACTCTGAAGCTGACCTCCGAGGTCCGTGAAGATGTCGTCGGCCACTAGTACCAGCGAAGCTAGCTGCCTGAGGGCATTGCAGAGGGTGTTGTTGGTGACGGCTTGCAGCTCGTCGTCCGAAACTCTCGGATTACCATCCTCGTCGAAGAGATTCGTTCGACTTAAATATTTCGGCTCGACAAAACGCTGAACGAATGGCATGTTTCCAACATCGTTTGTACACTTTCACTCCTAATCACTGTCACACACAGTACGCACTCCGAAAATGTTTTTGCCACATGGTTTTTGAGTTTTCTTTTTCGGAAAACTACGCGCCAAAATCCGCGCGCCGTACGCCCGGCCTCATTGTCGGCAAACGAATGCCTCGTGCACGGAGGAAGGTACCGGTGTCGTGGTGGACTTTCTACGGCGATCCGATCCGACCTTCCCGCTGTTGTGGCTTTTGAATAAGGCGACGGCGCAGTGGCATATATACCTGTGTCCCTAATTCCAAACGTCAACGTTGGCCTAAAATTTGAATAAATATACCACTGTCCTTATTACTCGGCAAGACTTTTCCATTAAAAATAGATGGCCACATTTTGGAAAACCTAGAGAACACTAAGATTTTCCGTTTTAATAACTACGTATAATATGTTCCAATTGCTTCCTGTATTTCGACAAAATCGTTACTATTTCCTCATCCAAATTATAACTTTTTCCTCCCTTTACTTTTTAATAAAAATTAATAATTTACTTAATTTAGAAACAAACAAAAAAATACTTACCTATAACTTTAACTCACATTTGTTAAAATAGTAGCTAGTGGATTACTCATGGCAAAAACCTGTTATTTCTGTAGGTGAAATATAGAAGAATACCGTGCAGAGTAAATATATTTATTTCGTTATTTATA